AGGCGTTCAGGGACCAGTGAGGCGTTCAGGGACCAGAGAGGCGTTCAGGGACCAGTGAGGCATTTAGGAACCAGCAGGCGTTCAGGGACCAGTGAGGCGTTCAGGGACCAGCAGGCGTTCAGGGACCAGCAGGCGTTCAGGGACCAGAGAGGCGTTCAGGGACCAGCAGGCGTTCAGGGACCAGAGAGGCGTTCAGGGACCAGCAGGTGTTCAGAGTCGTGGTTCAGCTGCAGGTTGTTTTCAGTCTGATTCTGATGCAGATTTGAACATCAGCAGAAACGGACCGACACCAGTGACAGCAGAACTGGTTCTGGTTCCGTCCGCAAAGCTGCAGCTTTTCTCTAAACTCTGGCTTCAGAACGGAACATCTCTGACCCACGTTCTTAGCCTTGTAGAGACAAACAGCTGATAATCTGTCCTAACAACACAAACAGGAGTGTGATCCAGAGCCAGACCGAACCGACCGAACCCTCACCCGCCCGGTTCTGCTGTTCTATTTTTCTAAGGGGATGAAAACTAATCAGTGATCTGTGTGATCAGAAACATTTCATGAAGTGAAGGAGGTGGAGTGGTTCTCCGGTCCACCTCTGGTTCACCTAACCCGAACCCGAACCGTCACTAGAGTCAGTGCCAGCTTTACAACCAGCTGATGGATCCATGCACAACGACCCGCACATCCCATAATCACAGCCACTGATCGGACACACGAGCCGCTGCTGCATCCGCGCACGAAGCAGGCGGCGGCCGGAGCTCCTCCACCTGCACCGCCCCCACCCTCTCCGCTCCGGCCGGGCTCCGGTGCTCCTACCTGGGCACGCAGCTCGGGGAGGACCGGTCGATCTCCCAGGTCGCAAACAGGTTCATCGGCACCGGGACTCGTCCGTCCTGCTCTCCGGCCGCAGCGGCAGAACCCGCCGGCGGCTCCGCAGCAGAAGCCGCCGCCGCCGGGCTCGGAGGCAGAGCTGCCCCCCGGACTCCCGCTCTGTCCGCAGCCGCCGCCATCGTCGCCTCTCCGGCGGCAGGTCGCTGTGCTGCCCGCTGCTGGTCCTCCGGAGCGGCTGGCAGGGAGCGGGGCGGGGGGAGGACCGGGGGGAGGAGGAGGAGGAGGAGGAGGAGCCTGAGAGGCGGCGGGCTGAGATTCACCTGCTCAGGTGAGCTGGAGGCTGAGTAGCACAGTTCATTCATTCATCTCTGTTACACACAGTCCTCCATAAATACATACATGTATATATATGTATGTATAAAATTCTTTATTTACATTAATATATATCATTTATATACTTTCTCTCTCTCTCTCTCTCTCACACACACACACACACACATTATAATTATTGATTTCTGTCCTTGGCAAACATAAAACTGTAAATTATCCACGTGGACATCTTTGTATCATATTCTTTTTTTCCTGCTTGCTTTTTTCTTATTTTATTTTGGTCTATTGTTTTGTACCTGTTTGATTTGTGCTCCTGTGATAAATCAGTCGCCCTTGTGGATCAGTGAAGCTGATCTCAGTCCAGACGCTCACTCAGATGATCCAGTTCTTGTTAACGTGTGAAGTTCTGCTGATTGTTTAAAGTCACATTTAAACACAACACGGGTCGAACTAAAGCGCTGCAAAACTACAGCTGATATAAAACAAACACGATGACGAGAAGACAAACGCAAATGAAATAAGAATAAAAAGTTCCAGTACGAGAAGCTCTGCTGGAAAACAGACATTTGATCTCAACAAGCCTTTTTTAAAGCGTCCTGCTGAGTGTTTTAACGACGTCTCTGTGGGTCACAGTATCTCAGAAGGTCGTCCAGGATGACTTCAGACTCGTCTCCAGCGATTACAAACGTCAGCAGGATGAGAACAGAAGTGGAGGACCAGCTAGAACCGGTCCAAACTGACTCAAAACATTGTTCAGAATGAAAAAATCTTTTGCTGTTTGTCTTTGTCAGAAACACTGCTGTTCATACGTGGGCAGCGTCCAAACTCCCCCTGCTGGACAGCTGGTGAACTACAGAAGTGACTCTTAAGTCCTCGTTCGTCTCGTGGGTTCATCAGAAAGTTAGAAAACGTCCTGAAAACCAGCCGAAGGAGACACAAGCTGCTGCTCTCAGTAATCCAGTATTTGACAGTGATCCAGTTTCTCTTGGATGGATGAGGAATGAGCTCCCAGCGACTTCCCAGCTGGACACGGGACCATTATCTCTGTTCAGTGTGCAGCTACAGCCAGCAGCTAGTTAGCTTAGTCTAGCTTAGCATTAGGTGGCAGCCGTAGACCAAAGAGGACCGAACTGAACCTCTGAGGTCCTAAACTGACAAAAAATGTCCCAAATAACTACAGAATGCCTCCAAATGACTTTAAATCTGCATAAAGAACGTGAACATTGTGAAAATGATTAAAAAACTCTGAAATGACTCAGACCTCTCCACGATGTACAGGAACCAACAACCCAAATGTATGCTAAGCTAAGCTAAGCTAAGTAGCTGCTCGCTTCACATCTGCAGTACAAACTTCAGTCTGAACATCGAACAGCAGAAAAAAAAGATTCCTGAAAGTTGACTTGAGCTGAAACCAGCTGGTTGTCTTCAGTCTGGTGTTGAGACGACGGAGGAGCTGATTGGTTAATAAAATATGATCCAATGAAGCTGAAGACAAAGAAAAGACCGACTGTTTCCCTCAGAGTGGATCCCGTCTACAGATGGTTCTGGTAGGTTCTGGAGGTAAACCGGTCCTTCATCGTCTAGAACTGGTTCTGACCCGCCACCATCACACATGCTGATATGAGCCTGGAATGTTTACCCAGAATGCACTTTGTGAAGTTTCCTCTGGTGAATGATCAGAACCAGAACCACATCCAGGGTACCACTGATTGTTTCTATGACTCTGTGTCATAGACATTAAACTGGTACCACTATGATCCATCCCATAATACTGATGCTACCAGCTGCTGGCAGAGGACATGAACAGAACCAGGTCCAGTGTTCAGACTGAGACACCTGGATGGATGTAGAAGTGATCTGGTGTCAGGTTCTACCAGAACCCAGATGTGTTCTTCCTCCTAAGTGTCATTGGGTTCGTTCATGTTTGCTCCTCCTCCTCCTCCTCTTCCTCCTCGCTGGTGAAGTCTTCGATCACGACTCTGGGCAGAACCACCGTCTGGCTGTTGGACACCTGAACTCCTCCCTCAGGGTTCTGTTGCGTCTCGGCAGCTCGGCCCGCAGCAGGAGAACCCGGCTGCCGGTTCCTGTACTGCACCAGACTGCAGCTCTTCACCACGATGGCGATGACGTTCTTCCCCATCATGGCGGCCGACACCTGGCCGTCGGCGAAGAGCCGCAGGTTTCCTCCGCGGATCAGCAGCGTGCTGACGTTGACGGCGGCCAGGCTGAGGATGGGGCGGAGCAGCATCCTGTGGGCGGCGATGTTGACGCCCTGCAGGCTGAGCTCGCTCAGCGAGACGCAGGGCAGCACCAGCAGCACGTAGCGGTAGAAGAACATCAGCCACAGGGGGAGCTCCTCCCTCTGCAGCTCCCACAGGTTGGCCTGGACGTCCACAACGTCCAGCAGGTCCACCACCACCCAGAACAGCCGGCTCCGTAGCTCCTCTCTTTTCCTATATGGCCGTAAATACTCCAAATGATCGATGCTGGCGAGTGTCAGGTAGACGGCGGCCACGCAGACGGACAGCAGCAGCGTCAGCGCTCTCCTGGATGCACCTGCTGCCTCCTCGACCTGAGACCTGTAGTTCTGGTAAACGAAGTAGACCTTGATCTCCAGGACAAAGATGTAGAAGAACCAGAGGATCATGGCGTAGCCTCGCCTGGCGGTGCCTACCTCTGACCCGGCAGAGGCGGCGACGTATCGCAGCACGATGAGGAAGCAGGCATCGCCCGCCAGCACGGTCACGCAAACCCCGACCCGCCCGGAGCCCGGGTTCTGCTCCACCAGGTAGGCGTCCACCAGCACCAGGCTGGACATGATGAGCGCCACCGTCAGGCAGACGTGAGGCCTGTTAGCAGCATGTGGAGGAGGAACCATCGCTGGCTACCACTCTAACCACAACGCCATACATCTGTTCTTAAAGTAGGAACGTTCTGATCCAGTTCATGGCACAGATCTGATCCAAGTCAGTTAGTGTTTAGTATCTGCTGATACAAAGTCTGATACCATCATCCTGATGAAGACGTTACAGTCGCTAACATCAGTCCAGTGTTAGAGGGCAAATGTACCACAGACCAGCTGCAGTACCTGGTTACTGCTTCGTGCTGCGTTCAGGGACGGCGCTGCTCAGAGAGGAAGCCAGGTCCAACCGGTCGATCATCCGTCCATGAGTCGGGTCCAGATGGTTCTGGTAGGTTCTGGAGGTAAAACGGTCCTTTCATTGTCTAGAACTCGAAGACACTTCAAGACAGTGAACAACATTTCTGGAGCCGGACCAGCTGCAGCTCAGAACTCATGGAGAACATTTTATAGTCCGAGAACCGAAGAGTTCAGAAGAAGTACAAACAGCAGACGAGTTAGATTAGAAACGACAGGATGACAGTTCATCTGCCAGAACCTGGAAACAGAGCAGCAGCAGCAGCAGGGTTTCAGCTTTCTGATGGTCCCTGAACTCATCATCTGTAAAGAAAACAAACAACGAACCGGAGCTGAAAATCACATTTATTCAGAACCACTTTATTCTGTCAACACCTGGCCCGACACTGATCTAAACGGGCCCTGCAAAAACCACAACCGTCCTCCTCCTCCTGGTTCTGACCCAGTAGAACCAGAACCGTCCTCCTCCTGGTTAGTCAGTAGTGTGTACGGTCAGATGAGATACCAGTGCAATAATCCTGAAGGGAATTCTTGTTCCAGATGTTGCTCAGGAAAACCCAACGACCCAACCCGAGGAACCGCAGCATCTGAAAGCAGAGAAGCAACCCGACAGAACTGAAGCTCCTCCCACCTGTCAGCTGATGTGTCCACAGCGATGGGTCGAGCCCGCCGTCGCTCTGAGGAGGAGAAACACTGAACATCCAGCTCCGATCCACACGGAACAAACCCACTCAAACCACTACAACGACACCTAAATCATGAATCTGCAGTTTCTGTGTGGTCAGCTACAACGAGACCCGAGTCCACGTAGGGAGCCACAGGAGGGATCCTCTGTTCTGGAGCAGTTTGACAGAACCGGTCCTGGAAGAGTTCAGACAGCCGTCGAGTCTCCGAAGTCTCGGTTCCAGCGAACGTACAGATCCAGAGTTTGCGGGCCGACGCTGCTGCGGATCTTCTTCAGAGAATCCACAAAGTCACAGAACCCAATTGCTCGGACCTTTGAAGAAAACAGAAGGAGGGTGAAGGAGCAGTCGGTGTATTATGGGATGTTACGACTCATGTTGTCGGTTAAACTGCGTCAGCATGAGATTCTGTCCGTCTCGCCTTCTTTTATTACTCATTTGTTTCCTTTTGACCCTCTGAGCTCCCTCTGATTTTCAACATTCTGATGGTCCCTGAATGCATCATGTGTGGCGTTGAGTTTTGTCAGGAAAAATAACCAAATTTGAGCTTAAAATCTTCTAATTCTAGCGCCAGTGTTAGCAACCTAAGCTTAGCTAACTAAGGTTGGAGAGCCACAGTTAGAAAGCTAAACTTAGCCTGCAAAAGCTGGCAAGCCAGTTTTAGTGGACCCAGGTTAGCAAGCTAAGGCTAGCAAGCCAAACTTAACCAGTTGATTTTAGGATACCAACGTTAGCAAGCTAGATAGCTAAAGTTAGCGAGCCAAACTTAGCAAGCTAATGGTACCAAGCCAAAGTTTGCTAGATAAACTTCACAAGGTGAAATTAGTGAAACCAAGTTAACGAGCCAACGTTCACCAGTGATAATAAGCAAACTGCACTTAGTGAACCAACCTTAGCTTGCTAAAATTAGCTAACCCATGTTAGCATGGCAAAGTTAGCGAGTCAAAGCTAGCAATATAAAGTTAGCGAGCCAAAGCTAACAAGCTAAAGTTAGTGAG